ACCCAAATTGCCATGAGAGGGCATCTGATTGGTCTGTTTTAACCACATGACTATCTGTGATGCAGCAGCTATGATGGGGGTGGGGGGGGTAGGTGTCTATATGAGGTGCCAGAGGCCTTTGACTTGTGGATGGAGGGGGAGGGGAATAGTTTCCAAAGCTGGGGAATTCTTGGGAGTTGGGAAGTCACTGCCCAACCCCCCCATACCAAGTATCTAAAAGTCTGCTCAAAAAGTCAGACCCTGGCCCTTGTTGGTGTGCTCAGTGGTTAGAGTGTCGTCCACACACCGAAGGGTCCCATGCAGGCTTGATTCCTGGTCCAGGGCTCAGACCTGTGTTGCAGTTTCTATCCCTGGCCCTGGTTGGGGCAGGTGCTGGAGGCAACCAATCGATGTGTCTCTCTCACTTCATCAATGTTTCTGATGTTTCTCTTTCTCTCTCTCCTCCTCCTCCCTTTCTCTCCCTCCCTCCCACTCTCTCTAAAAAGCAATGGAAAAAATATCCTCAGATGAGGATTAACAACAACAACAACAGAAGTCAGTCCCTGTAACACCCTCAGTGATTGGGGGATTAACCACTCGTTTTCCAGTGTGGCACCCCCTGTCCTGCTGGCGTTTGCAAAGCTGCAAGCCCTGGCTCATTGAGCTCTGTCCTGACCATTAGCACCCACACTCCAGCCCATGCCTCGCTGCCCGGGTCCTTCTGTCCCTCCTTTGAACCCTCGTTAGGGTCTCCTGTCTTCCTTGCCAAGGGCAGAGGAGGTCCTGGAAGATGGTGGAAAAGAGGGTGTGTGTGAGCCCCTGTGGGATTCCTAAGTCATCCCCTGGGCCCCCCTTGCACTCCTAAGGACTGGAATGCCCATCCTGTCTCCTCCCTGACCAGTACCCGTTCTGTCTACCTCTGGGCGACTCTCCCCGGTCTGTGTGTTGTATGCACATCCATCTGCTGCCCTGGCTCTCTCCCCCTCACCTGAGTGGAGGAGACCTGGAATCCAGGTCCTGCCCTCAGACCTCACCCACCCCCATTCACAGCTGTGCGCCTTCCCTTCTCCTCAAACAGAGAAGCACTGTGCTGGAGCCCAGGTGGAGGAAGGGATCTTAATCTAGCAATTATTGATTCAGGAGGGCCTTGGAAGACATAGTTACATAAAAACCATAAGTTATGGAAGTTAGGTACTTTAAGTACCTAAGGGGAGGGCAGGAGCTAAGGATGTGTTCCTAATTCAGGCCCAGAGCTCAGGATCTGGCCACACCAAGGGGCAGGCCTGGGGGCAGTGCAGGCGGTAGTCAGATCTGGGGTGGGAGGCAGGAGGCCTGGGAAGGGAGCAGGGGAAGGGTGAGGGTTTGGGAATAATGAGAGGAGGGCAGTTGTCCTAATACCTTAGATGTTCTGAGTAGCTGAGAGGAAAAGCCCAGCTAAGGTCTAAAGAGATGATATTTGCATATGCGTTGAATATCACCAATTAGGTGCTGTAACCCCAAGGAAACAGATGGCACAAATTGGGACGAGGGGAGGCAGTTTAATAAAAGAACGACTTACCAAGCAGTGGGAAGGGATCCAGAACCACATGGGAGTGCTCTCCGTGGGTCTCCGGGGCTGGTGAGGGGGCTGGTGAGGAGGGGGTGGTACCCCTGGGTGTGAAGGGAGGAGGAAGGGAGGGGATGATTACTGAAACCTGGAGGCACAGAAGCTAGAACCAGGGCTCTGACAGGAGCGCACTCTGCTGCCTCCTCCCTCTACCCTCCCTCCTCCTAAGTTCTGCCAGTGCCCTCCCCCCACCATTGGTCAAACAGAGGGAAGGGGTCCCTGGGTGCTGCTCAGGCACAGAGCAGAAAGGAGGAGAGTGGAGGGACAGATAGAAGGCATCTAGCACAGGGGTCAAAGGGCAAAAGGAAATACCTCCAGGGCATCAGAAGAGTTCTCACTAAAGGGTGCTCACTTTCTGCCAGGCACTGTTCCAGGCCCTTGAAAGATAGTAATTCCTTTAATACTTACATCTGTGGAGGAGCTGATTTTGCTATTCTCACTCCCAATTTGGGGAAACTAAAGCGGGGAGGAGTTGAGTAATTTTCCCAGAGGCACACAGCTGGTAAGGAGAAGAGCTGGGATTTGAATCCAGGTTGACTGGCTCCAGAGGGTTGCCCTGGCCTGTGATTCCCCACTCCTTGAGGCCAGGGATCAGTGTCGGGGAAAGGAGACCCAGGCACAGGACAGCAGTGCCAGGTGCCAGGCAGCAGGAAGGACCCAGCTCAGCACTGAGGACTGAGTGAGTGGCAGTGTCAAAAATCACTCCAGGGAGTGAGTTCGAGCCAAACCAAACCTTCCTCACAGAGGGTCTCTGCTGAGAGAGATGGTTAGACTCTCAGATGAAGGGATCAAAGAGGTGCCCTAGGAACCATTGCCCCTGGGTGCAGGATGGGGCAGAGTAAGGGAGAAGGGGGCACTCCTGCGCACACACATTGTGTGGTCATGGGGTTATTCCCTTGAAGCCTTGCAGCAATGCAAGGAGGGTGTTAGCCATTTCACACACAAGTGAGGAAGCTTAGGCCTGGAAGAACCCATCCTACTGTGATTCTCCAGACCTGGGGTAAGGTAGTGGCAGTAGGAGGGGAAGAGAGAGGAGGGGTCGGGAGCAAAGGCTCTTAGAGAGGGACGGAACCCCGGAACCCCAGGGGCCGCTAGTCTCAGGGAGGCTGGTAGAATCCCCTTGGGGTCGCTCACCTGGGGGCTCCAGGCCGCCCCCCCCCCCAGTGGAAGTGATTTTGATTGGTTCCCCCATGCACCCCCTGGAAAATCCTGAGCTCATTTAACCTTTCATTTCACAAGTGAGGAAAGTGACACCAGGAGGTCATGCAGTGAGAGGCCTGAGGCTGGGGAGCCTGGTGACACAGTAGATGGCCTCTGAGGAGAGCTGGGAGCTGGTTCAGACTGGCAGCAGCATGAGGCAGGCCGCAGGGGAGCTATCCAGCCTTCCCTCTTAGAAGGTTTAGGGAACCAAAACTAGTTTTTAAAAAGGATTAATCTTCAATAGACTAGGTAATATTAGACATATTTATTATTAAAAAATGAAAATAATATAAAAGGTATATATTGAGAAGGCCAGATCACAATTTTGCTATTTATAGGTAACCTTTTTTTTATTTGATTTTTTTCAGCGTATGTTAATGCTAAGATAAGGAAATAGAAATATATATATTCTTGTCTCTACCCTATTTTTTACACAAAAGGTGGCATGCTGTGCACCTTGCTTTTTTCACTTAATATCCCTGGGGAGTTCTCCATATTAAAATCTAGAGAAAACCTCATTCTTTTCTAGAGCTGCACAGTATCCCATTACAAAGATCCGCCATAGCTTATGGAAGCAGCCTCTGGTTGCCAGGTACTGGGTTGTTACCCGTCTCCTCTTACTTCACAGAACGCCACCGGAATTATCTTGTGCCTCCCTGGCTTTGCAGATGTGCAGGTGCCTCTCTAGTCTATTTTGCTCTCGATAACCTGTGACGAAGGAGTAGATTTTACTTATCAATTTACAGCCTGTTGCAGGGGGATGATCATGTAAAATGTAATAAAAGTGAATCCCTAGAGAAGTGAATTAAAAAAAAACCCCTGCAAAATATAAGCCCAAATATTTTTTAAAAAATATATTTTATTGATTTTTTACAGAGAGGAAGGGAGAGGGATAGAGAGTTAGAAACATTGAAGAGAGAGAAATATCGATCAGCTGACTCCTGCACACCTCCTACTGGGGATGTGCCCGCAACCAAGGTACATGCCCTTGACCGGAATCAAACCTGGGACCTTTCAGTCCGCAGGCCAGCGCTCTATCCACTGAGCCAAACCAGTTAGGGCAAGCCCAAATATTTTGTTATTAGATCCAATAGACATAAAAATTATTCTGTCAAATAACTATACAGGTTTTTAAACGCTTACTCTCCAATGTCTGCATTAATCTTGCCACAGAGTCATCAGAGTTCATACTGGTCCATGGACCATACTCTGAGTAGCACTGATCTAGACTCCCACGATTAGGTCAGAGGGTAAGCGCCTCTGTCGTTTTTGCCAGATATGGCCAGATGCCCCTCCACGGCTGTGCCTTTTTGCACACCCACCAGCAGTACATGAGGGTGCCTCCTTTCCCACAGCCTCACCAACAGTGGTCTAACTTGGATTTTTGCTAAACCGATAGGTGAGCAGAGGTGATCTCAGGCTGTTTTAATTTGCATCGCTCTTATTATGAATGAGAATAAGTGTCATTCATGTTTTTAAGCCCAGTTTGCATTTATATTCATTTTCTACTGGACTGTTGGATTTTTTCTTCTTGATTCCCAGGAGTTATTTACATAGCAGGAATATTAGCCCCTTTGCCTGTGATATGAATTGCAAATATTTTTTCCAGTTTGTTATTTGATTTTGCTTAACATTGTTTTTTTTTTTTTTTGAAGGGATAGGGGGAAAGAGAGGCATGCAGAAGTTTGTGGGTTTTATGTAGTTAAATATTTTCTTTAATAACTTCAGGATTTTGAGTCATGGTTCTCCACTCCAAGGTTATAAAGATTACTGCCCACATTTTCTTCTAGTATTTTGTTGGTTTTATTCTTAGCATGTAATCTTTTATCCAGTTGGAATTTTTCCTAGTATAAGGTGTAAGTTATGGGCTCAAATTTATCTTTTTATAACTGGCTATTCATTCATCCTAGCTCCATTTATTAAAATCCCTAAGATACCACTTTTATCATTAAAACAAATTTTAAGCCATTTGGGATCATAATAGAAAAAGCTCTATAATTTGTCAGTTTTGTGTAGAATACCATTCCAAGGGAAATTAGCTTTCAAGCTATGATCTATAACTTTGTATTTCTAGAGCAGGATAAACTCTAAGTAACATAAATTTATTTAAACAAACAAAAACCAAACCTGTGGGGCCACTGACATCCACAAGGAACGTGGGAGAAGTGGGCCTTGCCGAGGGAGCACATGGTGAGACTGAATGTTTGCCTTGCAGGTCCTCCCCGGCCTGCCTGCCGCTGGGAGCTGGGACCCAGAGGGGCCCACCATGGTGCTCCCGGGACCCCTGGCTGCCACCCTGTTGCCGCCCAGCCTCGCGCTGCTGGTCTTCCACCTCTCCAGCTCCCAGGATGTCACCAGCGATCCCGGCCGTGAGCAGCAGCTGTGCGCCCTGAGGGAACACCCCACCGTGGCCTTTGCAGGTGAGAGACGCTGTACGTGTGCAAGTCTACAGTTCTTTCTGCAATGACATGTTTGAAGGACTCAGTCCCACCTAGGATTCAGATGCGTAAGGACGGCAGCCATGGGCGGGATGGGTCTGACTTTAGTCTCCAGACAATGTGTCCAGGCCCTTCTCTCATATTTACCTGGGAGGCGGGGTCTTCCTTTGCTGGAGAAAGAGGTGTGGACCCTCTGGGTGGGCTGCCCAGGGTTGGTCGGTCTCTCAGCTCTGGCTCTTCTGGAAGCATGAGCTCTGCTTCTTGGCTTTTCCGGGGGGAAGACGAGGATGACTCACTTCTTGGAAGTGCCTCGTGATCTCTGCACAGCCTCCTTCTGCTCTAAGACGGCTGCAGGGATGCCCATCTTTGGGGTCCTCGGAACCCCCTGGGAAAGGGGCCCTGGTGACTGGTAACTCCTTTGGTCTGTCAAGGGAGGGCATGGGAGTGTCTAGCTGAAGTATTTCCCAAGCTGGGATGTGTGAATCGCTGGGCATATTCTGAGGGTCTATCAGTTTTCACTAAGTTTCTAAAATTAGAACATACGTTTGATGATCCTCTAAAAACAAAGCAAAAACATAAATACTGGAGCTTCCTGGATGTTCTCCCCCGACCTGGGAGCCAGGGTGGGGTCCCTGGTGGTGTTACATCACATCAATACTTCAGATCCATTGCCTCGCGGGAGCTCACACTGATGTTGTCTCAGGGGTCCCCAGGTCCTTATGTCTGATAAACACCTATCCTGTCTCCCCTTCACTATAACCCTGGCTTGGAGGCAGGGCAGGCCACCACCCCTTTTGACAGATGCGGGCCGAGGTGCAGAGGGTTGGGGAGACTTGTCAGAGCCTCCTGACTCGGCCCAGGCAGAGTGATGGAGCGCTCCACCCTCCAGTGCCCAGGCAGGAGGAGCAGCCCGGCCTCTGGGATGCTACAGCCCGTCCGGAGGGGCAAGATGGAAACCAGCGCTGCCCTGGCTGGTTTGGCTCAGTGGATAGAGCGTTGGCCTGCGGACTGAAAGGTCCCGGGTTCGATTCCGGTCAAGGGCACATGCCTGGGTTGCTGGCTTGATCCCCAGTGGAGGGCATGCAGGAGGTAGCCGATCAATGATTCTCTCTTATCATTGATGTTTCTATCTCTCTCTCCCTCTTCCTTCCTCTCTAAAATCAATAAAAATATATATATTTTTTAAAAAGATGGAAACCAGCACAGAAAAATAAACCCATGAGTCAGAGGCTGGCATGGGATTGGGGGCTGGGGAGCCCTAGGAATAGGAGTTGGGGGCTGTGCGGGGGAGGCTGGGGCATTTAGAAGTGTGGGGTTCCCAGCAGCGGGCTGCTCCTGTCTCCTGTCTTGGGGAGGTTTTCCAGCTGGTTTCTCTGTGCTGTTTTCTCTGTCTTGCTTGAGCGGGGATCCAGGCTTTGAAGGCTTAAGTGGATTACGGTAAATTAACAATCCCTTTAAGCCTACAAAACTGAGCATGCACACCCTCAGACTTCTTTTTTTTTTTGTCAGATGACACTTTAATTGGCTAGAAATATAAAACCTGTCTTTGGAGACTATCAGGACACCCTCAGACTTCTGATGCCCCTGAGGTGCTGCTGGTGGCTGTCCCTAAGGGGAAGGACCAAGTGGGGGACAGAAGGAGCTGGATTCTGAGGGCTGAAGACTGTCCCCTTCACAGAGGTCCCATGTGGCGGCTCCTAATACAACATTTCTTCTCAGGGCTTCCCAGGGGCACTACTGGCTGACTGTGGGGCAGGGACAATGGGATGAGCGCAGGGGACCCCTGTCCCCCAGCCAGGCTGCTCTATACTGGGGGTGGGGATGGCAGGGGGTGGGAGATGTGTTCCTTGAGTTCCTGGCTTCCTTGACACCATTTTGTATCTTCACATGTAAATCACGTGACTTGCTGCCGCACCCCTTTCAGGATGGGGGGATGAGGCTCAGGGTGGCATGGATGGTGACATAGAGTCATAAGGGTTTCCCTTCTTTCCGGGCGAGAAGAGACGGTCTGTCGTCTGGGACTGGCAGTCCTGCGGAGTGGTGTCCTCTCTGCTTCTCCTCCCCAGCCCTCCTGGCCTCCACCAGCTCACCCCCTTCCCCATCCTGACAGCCCTGGCTTTTCCTGTCCACTCACTAACTTTTTATTGGGCCCTGCTTGATGCCAGGCACAGAATGGGACCCAGTGGGGCCTCGGAGGTGAGCAAGGGTCTCTTCTGGGTACTCACGTGCCTCTCATTGCTTCTTCAGTGTTACTCCCCTGTGGCCCCCAGTGCAGTTGGTCCTGGACCAGGACTAGTCCGTCCTGCTGTCTCCCCACACCCTTCTGCACAGCTGAGTACGCACTGGGGACTAGTGATGGACTGTCTTCTGGGTGACACCATGTTCTAGAGAAGTTGCCGTAATCCATCCCAGCACAACCCCCAGCTTCCAGGGTTCCCTCAGATGTTGCACTTTATTTTCGACCGAGCTGTAGGCTTCCAACCCCGTAGCTCCGAGTTTCCTTCTCCCCCGACACCTGACTGATCTGGGAATAACCCCTCGGTACTCAGAGGAGCTGCCAGGTGCAGAGTCTGGCATCCTCCTGTTGTGGAAGGTTACATTCTCTGCTGTGTGCTTCTTTTAAGGGGGGCCCACCTGTGTTTCTCTTTTTTTTAAATATATATATCTTTTATTTTAAGTATATTTTTATTGATCTCGGAGAGGAAGGGAGAGGGAGAGATAGAAACATCAATGATGAGAGAGAATCATTGATCGGCTGCCTCCTGCACGCCCCCCACTGGGGATTGAGCCCACAACCCTGGGCATGTGCTCTTGACTGGAATCGAACCCGGACCCTTCAGTCCGCAGGCTGACGTTCTATCCACTGAGCCAAACCAGCCAGGGCCACCTGTGTTTCTCTTTGGCCCTCACGGTATTCCTCTCGCCACGGCATGGCCTTTCCAGGCAGCGGGAGAAGCCAGTATGGAGTTAACACTGGCAGTGGTTAATCCACAAAGTGGGTAATTGAATTGACTATACATAATTAAAATCACAGGCGCGTCATGGAGAATGTCATTTTTCTCTTAAAGACGCTGTCCAAAGCCTTCGCTGCACACGGAGCTCGGACGTGCTTGGTGTTTTAAAGACAGCCCTCCCTCTGGTCCTCTTTGCCTGTTTAATCGGAGGAAGCTGGCTGCCTTCCCAAGAAGGCTCCCCCGATCACGGGGCTGCACGTCTCTCCCTTTCCCCTTTGCCCACGTTGGCCCCTTCTGTGTTAGGGGAGAGGGACAGAAACTGGAAAGGGCCTCCACCCGCCCCTCCCCTGACTCCCCCCAGTTGTCATCCTGGCTCCTGCCCTGTTTCCTCTCCCTCTTCCCTCCTCCCCAAGGACCCACCTGAGCAGAGACTGGGCTGAGAAGTCCCAGATGGAGTTCCTCCTGGTTTGCTGCAGACCAGTCATGCCACCTCTTGCCCTGTTTGGCTGCCCACATCTGGAATACCTCTGTTGGAAGGGGAGAGAATTAAAGTGTGACCCAGTTGCTACGTTTGGGGAGCACCCAGTCTGATGGGCAAGCTCTTTCACACCGCCCCTCCCCCCCCCCCCAGAGAAAACACACTTGAGCACATTGAGTGACAATGACATACAATGTGAATGGAACAGAAAGGGTAGAGAGAATGTAGACCAAAATAAGATCAGCTGGAGGGGAAATAATCCAGGAGAGCTTCCTGGAGGAAGAGGACCCTTAGTCTCTCAGGTAGTATAATATCCTGCCAGGATTTCTGAGAGTGGCCCTGAGGTCAGCTAAAAAACCCAGTCTACCTGACTGCAAATCTACTTCTTGCACTGATCCTGCAAAAATGTCATTGCAACTACATGACAATTATTGCTAATCCACTTGCTGGGAGCAGAGGCAGAACCAAGGGGTTAGCTTCATTTTGTTGCAGAATTTCTTTCTTATTTTTTTAAATTATGCATAACACAGTTTTCTAAAAAACATCCAACTCGTAAAACCTCCAGTTCTCCAGCGAGCGATTAAGTGTTTGCCTGTTGTGCAGAAATGAAGGGCTGCTTTTACTCTGTAGTAGAGGGATAATGAGCAATGATTTATTTCCCTTGGATTACACACACATACACACTCCTTCGGGCCTCCTGTGAGCCAGTCGCTAATGCGCCGTGGGGAGAAAGCACAGGGCCTCACATTCTCCCCTCGTCTTCACCCCATCAGCATGAATGTTCCTCTGCTCAAGGCTCTCTCGTTACTGGTCAGTTCCCTCCCATCCATGAGGCAGGGGTGAGGGGCAGCTATTACATGGCCATGCACTGAGGTGGGAGAAGCAGGCCTCCACAGAAGGGAAAGAAGGAGTCAACCGGGTACTGTTGCCCAGGGCTGCCCTCCCCACACCGCTGCCCATCCATCTAGAGGGCTGCACGGTCTCTCCTCTGCCCACCCAATGCCCATGAAAAGTGTTGGCCTTGTCTGGGAAGACCTTTCCTTGGAGACAGGGATGGACACTGGTTGCCCACCCTCTGTGGAGCCTTGTCTGATAACCCGATTCTTCTTGTACAGAAAGAAGGGAGCTGAGGATTATTCATCCATTCATTCAAACACTGCCAAGTGCTGGGAGAAACCTGGCACTCCAAGAAGCAAGACCTTCCCTGTCCCCCAGGACAAACCACTGGGATGGACACCCAGGGATATGGAGATGTTGATAGCAGTAAAGTAGAGGTCTATGGGAGCCCCTTACTCAGGTTGGGGGAGTCAGGGAAGGCTTCTTGGAGGAGGTGGGGTAAGGAGGACAGAAGTGCGAGAGTGTGCAGGCTCTTGCAGACTAGATTGGAGAAGTGCACAGTGTTCTGGTTTAGTGTGGCTGGGTGGGGAGTCTAAGGGGGATGTGAAAGATGAAGCATCATTCTTTCCATGGATCACAAAATAATGGCTGTGCCAGGCATCTGACTTGGGGGGACAGTGGGGCCACGGGTTGGGACTTTTTCTCCAGGAGCTTTTACAGGCTCCAGCTGGAGAGTGACACAACCGGATTTGCATTTTGGAAAGATCACTCTGGTTGCCCTATGGGAAATGGGCTGGAAGGGCAGGAGTGGAAGCCAGGCCAGTGAGGAGGCTGTTGGCACCCGTCCAGGCTAGAGCTGCTGGTGGCTGGATGGGGGGTGGGGTGCAGAGGGCAAGATGGATGGGATTCAGAGAGAGAGTTGGATGTATACCAGCGTGTTTGGCCAGCGTGTTTGATGCAGCTGGCGAGGGTCTGAGGGAGTCAAGGGTGATTATAGGTCTCCCTTTGGGCAGCTGGGGCAGGTGGAGCCCTTTTCTGAGCTAGGGAACAAAGCGGGAACAGTGACAGCACCCCACCCCTGCTCCCCACCCCCTTCCAGCTGGCTGCTCACAGGTCTCTTGGCGCCTCCTGCCTCACTGCACCCTGACTTCACGCTGACCGATTCTTCACCCTTCCCTTCTCCTGTCCAGTGCTGGGCAGCTGGTAACCTGGTCAATGGTAACTGGATGTTTGCCTGGGTCTCTAACTTCACCTACCCTGGAGCCCGAGACTTCTCCCAGCTCGCTCTGGATCCCTCCAGGAACCAGCTCATCGTGGGAGCCAGGTAAAATGGGGCAGGAGGGTTGGGGTCAAGAGTGCAGGTGCTTAGAATTCAAGAGTGCAGGTGCTTAGAATTGGGTGGAGGGAATGTTGTTTGGGGTGAGCCTACTGTGTTCCTCTCAGCCAGGCCCTCTCTGTGCCTGAATGTCTGTCTCCCACAGAAGGAAGCATTTGGGGCTGGGGGTGGAGAAGTGACCTCCAGATCTCAGCAAGCCACATACCTCGGTGGCTGGTAGTTACTGAGAGCAGCCTCCTCCTGTCCCCTGTCCCTGCCATGCGGCCAGACCCAGCCTAGCTGGCACCCTCCCTGGGAGCTCCGAGCAGAGAAGGTGCCCAGGAGCCCCCTGCTGGCCGACCGGCCACCTGCACCTGGGACTCCTGGACACAGGCCTTGGGCTTCTTTTAGGCAGGACCTGGCTTCCCTGTTACCTGACCTCCTTTAGTCCCACTGTCCAGGGCCAGTATCCAAAGGATAACACGCTCTAGGGAGAATTTATGGGGACTTTGTGGGGTGGAGCAGGAGGAGATAATTCTCACAAAATTACAGGCCATGAGTTCTGGTAGGGAAGGGAGCTCGGAGATGGGTAATTCCAGTGGGTCTCAAAGATGGACCAGCCACACCAGCAACATCTGGGAACTTGTTAGAAAGGCAGATCCTTGGGCTCCACCCCGACTTGCTGAACCAGAAGCTCTGGGGGGCCAGCAGCCTGCACTTCAGCAGCCCCTCCAGGGAGTCTGAAGCACACTCAGGCATGAGAATCACTGGTCTAATCCAACTGCCTTTGATGTGAACATGAAAAGGCAGAGAAGCCTGTTGAGGGCAAGGTGACCTTCTCAAGGTAATATAGCCAGATGCCAACAGTGATGAGGACAGAACCCAGGGCTGGAGTTTGTTCTGCCAGCCCGTGTAGTCCCCTCCTCCTGCAGTGGCATGTTTCAGACACTCTCCACCCCAAAGGTTCTGATTCTGCTGTTCTGGGGCTGGGGGAGGGTGATCACCAGGTAGCTGACCATCCTTGACGTCTGGGCTTTCCTGAGTGTTCCCGTCCCCTCACTGTCGTATGACAAGGGGCGGGTGAGGACAGAGCTCTGGATTAGGACCCGAGGAGTTGCATTCTTTACCTTTGTTGTTGTTGTTGTTGTTGTTAATCCTCACTGGAGGATATTTTTTTCCATTGAATTTTTAGAGAGAGTGGAAGGGAGGAGAGACAGAGGGAGAGAAACATCAGTGTGAGAAAGACACATTGATTGGTTCCCTCCTGCACTCACCCCAACCAGCACCGGGGATCAAGCCTGCAACTGAAGTACGTGCCCTTGAACAAAATCAAACCTATAACCCTTCGGTCTGAGGGCCGACACTGACCACTGAGCAAACTGGCTAGGGCTGATCTTCACCTCTGAGCCTCAGTTTCTTTATCTGTAAGATCTGGATTACAGTCTCTGTGCTGCCACCCTCTCAGGGCGATGGCGAAGCTGGGCTGAAAGCATTTCACTTTTTTATTTATTTTCTAACTTTTTTTTTATTCCTCGCCTGAGGACATGCTTAGGGAGAGGAAGGGATAGAGAGAGAGAAACATTGATTATTTGCCTTCCATAGGTGCCCCTACCGGGGATCAAACCCACAGGCCAGGTATGTGCCCTGACCAGGAATTGAACTAGTGACCTTCCAGTGCACAGAATGAAGCTCAACCAAATGAGCCACTCTGGCCGGGTTAATTTTTATTTTTAAAATAACCAGTCACAGTGCATCGGTGCTATGTGTTCTGGTATAACATTCAGAAGGTACAAAATAGTATACAGTGACGAGGAGGGCCACCCCTCCGCACTCCAAGCACGACCCCTCCTTGGGGGCACGCCCTGCGGGGAGTATGTGTGTCCGCCCAGAGGTAATCTGTACATGGGCAAGTCTACAAGAGTATGGATTTCATTTTCCAGCTCAGAGAATAATTGTTCTACTTTTTATTTTGAGATACTCATAGATTTACATGCAGTTGTAAGAACTAACACAGAGAGTTTCAAAGCATAAGCCTTCCACCCAGTTTCTCTTAATGATAACATCTTGCATAACAGCCGAACAGCATTAGTCAGGAAGGTGACCGATAAGAGCCTTCCACCTCATTCAGGTCCCATCTGTTTTCCGTATGTACTTTTAAAACCCTGATGTCTGGCTCTGGACTGTGTGGAAACATTTTAGAAGCTGTCATTCATCCTGTGCCGGCCGTGCGCCAGGCACCATCTTACGTACCATGTATGTAGTGAAGCATCTAAAACACATAGGCAGTCAGGCATGTAAAAACGCATCTAATCTTCACAAGAACCCCGGGTTGGTGTTCTATGGCCCCATTGTATGGACCCGGAAACTGAGGCTCAGAAGGAGAGGTGGCCTGCCTGTGGTCACACTGCTCTTCCCGACCCAATCTGAGGCTTCCTCCACACAGTGGACACATACATCTTCCTAGCCTTGGTTTCCCCCCAACCCTGGCTGTGCCCCAAGGATCGGGGGAAAACCAGCCCTGGACTTGCCCCTTGCATCTCTTGAAACAAATGAAGTGGGTCCTTGGCTTCTTTCTCCTCCCTTTCTTTCGGTCACTTTCCTTCCTCCTCTTCTGCCTGTCACATTTCCCCCTCCTTTCTGAGCCCCTGGGCCTCTGGAATTCCGGCTAGGGGACATATTTTTGCTCCTTTACACCCCGCCTTGTTTCCTGAGGGATTTAGGGCAGGTCAGGCTACAGAGATTTCTCTCTGTTCTCATCTCCCAGAAGAGCAGACCTCGACGACGTTGTGATGAATGATTTTTGATGGGATAAAAATGAAAACATAAAAAAGTGATGCAATGTTTCCCCTCATTCTTTAAAGCTGTGGCTGGATGCCTGTGTTACCTAGCAGACAGCCTGGGCAGAGCCATAAGCCGAAGCCCATCTGTCCCCAGGCCAGGAGGGAGAGGGCGGGGCAGCTCTTCAGGGCAGGCAGCTGGGGAGGGGCAGCAGGAACCTGGAGCCAAGGTCACGGGTGAGGCCCGCCAGGACAGCAGAGCAGCTGAGTGAGGCCCGGGCCAGCAGCCAGAGCTGGGGAAGAGGAGTCCCAGCCTGAGCGGTCTGGAGTCCCAGCCTGAGCGGTCTCCTCCAGGCCCTGGGTTCATTTGGCAGGGCCCCTCCGCATTCTGGCCCACTCCACAACCTTTCCCCTCATTTCTCTTCCCAGCACAGCTGAGGGAGGCCAGAACTTTCCAAAGCAATTACTTCTAAAAACTCCAGGAATGAAAAGAGGAATGACCAAAGATGTAAGAAGGAGAGAAGACTCTTAGGGAAAACCAGTATTTTACATCTGCTTGACATTAATAAAGCATCTTAACATGCATCTTACCATTCATTGCACTGTCTCCACCACCCTGTGAAAGAGGAAAGACAGCCACATCCGTTTTAGATGCAGACGCTGAGGTGCTTAGAAGGCCCCTCACAAGCAGCTGGGCTGGACTCCCCCTGTCTTTGCTGCAGGGTCTACACTGTGAACCTGCACTCTCACGTGGCCCTCGGACCAGTGGTTCTGTCACCCTCGGGTCCATGCATGGGGGCCTTGTGGCTCCAGAGTCCAGGCAAAGCAATTTCAGCAGTGCCTGACACTGTGTGCTCAATAGGCAACATCATCGTTAAGACTCTTTTAAACATATATTTTTTAATATTTTTTAATTGATTTCAGAGAGGAAGGGAGAGGGAGAGATAGAAACGTCAATGATGAGAGAGAATCATTGATCAGTTGCCTCCTGCATGACCCACACTGGGAATTGAGCCCGCAACCTGGGCATGTGTCCTGATGGGGAACTGAACCGTGACCTCCTGGTTCATAGGTCGACGCTCAACCACTGAGCCACACCGGCTGGGCAAGACTCTTTTTTTGAGCAGTTTTAAGTTCACAGCAAAATTAATGGGAAGGTACAGAGAATTTCTATATACCCTCAGCCCTACACGTGCAGCCTCCCCCATTGGAGTGGTAAGTTTGTTACAATTGATGAACCTACATGGGCACATCACTATCTCCCAATGTCCACAGATTATGTTACGGTGCACTGTTGGTAGTATGCATCCTCTGGGTTTGGACAAATTTATAATGATATGTATCCATGATTATGGCATCATACAGAGCCTTTTCACTGCCCTGAACATTCTCTGTGCTCTGCCTGTTCATCCATTCCCTCCCACCACCAACTCCTGGCAGCCACGGATCCCCTTTACTGTCCCATAGCTGTGCCTTTTCCAGAATGTCATATAATTGGAATCAGACAGTATGCAGCCTTTTCAGATGGGCTTCTTTCATTTAGTAATATGCACGTAAGGTCCCACTGTGTCTTGTTATGGCTTTATAACTCATTTCTTTTTAGCGCTCAGTAATATTCCATTTTCTGGGTGGACCACGGGTTACTTATCTATTCACCTACTAAAGGACATCTTGGCTGCTTCCAGGTTGGGCAATTATGAATAAAGCTGCTATAAACATTCCACGTGGAAGTTTTTGTGTGCACATATTTCCTTAAGGTTTCTGAGCAGCAAGCTGATCTGATGAAAACGGTGTTTGAGGAATCTGAATCTGGCAGCCTGGTGCCAGCTAGACCATGGGGAAGAGCATCGTGAAGAGGCAGAGGGGGCGATTGGGCGTGAAGAGACAGGTGGTCCAGGGAGGTGACCGTGGGAAAGTCAGACCCAGAGTCACTGGGCCTGTTTGAGGAGGGGAGTAGGTCCGGGAGGGAGGTGAGGGGAGAAGGCAGGTGGCCTGCCTGGGTCCCTGCAAGAGCTGCAGGAGGCTTTAAGTTGAACAGAAACAGGCTCCAGGGGTGGGAAAGTGGTAGGGGCTCTTCCTGGACCTTCCAGGGTGGCCAGACACATGGAATAGACAAGTCTGGGTTTTTAACTCGTCCTTGGGCCATGTACCCACCCTGTTTCCTCATCTGTAAAATGGCTTTTTTTTCCTCCGTGCTCCTGGGGCTGCTGTGAGGATTCCATGAGCTAAGGGAGGCGAAGCTCTGCTTGGGGGTCCACCTACCAAAGACCCTCTGCACTCGGCACCTGTCCTGGCACCCGGCGTGTGGGGCAGGAGCAGCTGCCTTCCGGGACTGGCCTGCGGGCCCAGCTTGACTGATAATTTCCGTCTCTGTTTTCACAGGAACTACCTCTTCAGGCTCAGCCTTGCCAATGTCTCCCTCCTTCAGGTACATTTGCGTCCCTTCCCTTCCCTGTAATGTCCCTGGGATTTGGGAGCCCAGCTGGGGCAGCGCAAAGAGCAAGATTCACAATTTAACCCCTAGTGTAGAAAACAGGAGCCCCGGGCTTCTTTCGCTGGCCATGGACTCCCCCTGGCTGTCAAGGTGATTGCTGGGAAGATCATTGGAAGCGGGAGTGAGGCCTCGAGAACAGGGAGGCACGCACAGGGCTCCTTCTTGCAAGGAGGGGAGGAAAGGAGCCCCAGAGCTTGGTGACCCTGGCCCTGCTTGCCTGGGCCTGAAGAGCCTCAGGGTGCTGGGCCTGCAGTGCTAAAACCAGGACAGGACTGGGAAAACAGGATGGGTGGGTCATTCTAAGTCCAGTGCCTAATCCACAGGAAGGCCTCTGAGTTTGGGCCTCAAGGGTCAGGATGCTGCTGGTTCCTTTCTTAGCCTGACCTGCGTAACCCCTTCTCACCCAGCAGCTCCACTGAGCTGTGATTTGTTACTTATTTACTGCCAGGGACTCCCCAAGCCTCATTCCCTAAGTGCCCTGGGTGAGAAGGCATTTTAATGGGCCTTCTTGATCCAGAACATTTGTCCCAGGTTGAGAAACAGCTGCCACACCATCTCTGCAGGGACTAAACATTCCGGAGAAAGGATGGCTGTCTCTTCTTCTTCGATGAGGAGAGAGCCCCTGTTCTCCTGTCCAGGAGGCTTGCTTGTCTCCCAGGGATCAAGTATCCATTCAGCGCTTGCTGTGTGTCCGAACTGAGCTGGGGCAGAGGGGCAGTAAGACAAGCAGAGTCTCTGACCCTCCCGTCTCACACTGCAGCCCAAAGAAGTTGATGAGTGATGCGCATAACTAGGGAATGGTACGAGGAGTTAGTCAGGCGCTGGGCTGTTTGGTATACAGTCTCACTGCAGAAGCCAGTTGGGAAAGGGGAGACCTCCTCAGTGAGCTGGTGTGACATTCTGGTCTGGTTTTTTCTTGCTTCACCTGGGTCTACACCCCACGAGCCATTGACACTGGTTTCCAGAGGGGAGGTTGAAGGGAACAGAAGAGATCTATCCTTCAGTCTATACCCTTACCGGCCAACTCACCTATGCATCTATCTAACCCCGTGGTCGGCAAACTGCGGCTCACGAGCCACATGCGGCTCTTTGGCCCCTTGAGTGTGGCTCTTCCTAAGCCTTAGGAGTACCCTAATTAAGTTAATAACAATGTACCTACCTATATAGTTTCTTTAAAAATTTGGCTCTCAAAAGAAATTTCAATCGTTGTGCTGTTGATATTTGGCTCTGTTGACTAATGAGTTTGCCGACCACTGATCTAACCAGCTGCAATACCGTTGTTGAATACCTGCTAAAGCCCAGCTCCAGTCCTAGGCGCAGTCCCAGGCATTTAAGATCCAAAGGTGAATCAGGTTCCATCCCTTGCCTCAAGGCACACATATATAAGGGACCATAAATGATCCCCTTTCCTGTTTGGGACCTGTGTCGCGTGTGCCTGGAGCCTGGGCTGGAGCAAGGCAGAGGACGTCCCAGAGGCAGCATCCTGTGGCCGCCCGGCTCAGTCACAAGCAGCCCACCCAGGGCCTAGTTGTCTCTTGGCAGCCCCAGTCCTCGTGTCCAGGAGGCTTGCTGGTCCCCCAATGATCAAGTATTCATTCAGCACTTTCTGTGCATCCGAACTGAGCTGGGGCAGAAGGGCAGTAAGACAAGCAGCGTCTCACCCTCAGGTCTCACGGACAGCCAGGAGAAGATGATGAGTGATAGATGCCAAGCCCAGCAGGTCAGGGTCTGGGGGAGCCCGTGCAGAGGCGATTCACAGTGGGTGGGAGGAAGTGGACCCAGGGGTGCTGCCCTGAGCTCAGGCAGTGGCTTTTTATTAGGTTCCCATGGCCTGCAAATGAAGGTCTGGGAGCAATAAAGCGGCTGAAGGCGGGAAGAGAGACAGATGTGCAAAATGGATGGCAGTGCTGGGGGAAGACTGCAGGGAGGGGCTTGTGCTGGGTGTAGTGGTGGCCCAGCAGGGTCTGCACAGGCTTTGCAGGAGCTGCCCGTGGTCTGGAGCCTGAAGGATGAGAGTTGCTAGGCAGCTCAGAAGGAGACACGATGTGGAACAGAATGGAGCACTGAGGGTCAGGTATGGCAGGATCATGGGGTGTGAGTGGGATAAGGGTGGGTGATGACGCCCGGGAGAGACAGAGGCCACGTCGCAGAGGGTCTTCGTTGCTGAGTGGAGAGGTCCATGTTTCATTTTGAAGGCACTGGGGGCTCCTCAAAGGGTTTAAAGGAGAGAAGTAGATTTGGTATTTTGACCACTTGGCCCAGTGCAGAGACGAATAAGTGGAGAAGCCAGTTAGGACTCAAGTGCAATAGTCCAGACCAGTGATGGGGAGAGCTTAACTAAGGCGGCAGAGTGGGGATGGAGAGCATTGGGAGGAAGAGGTCTGCAGGTGGCAGAATCACACAGGGTCACAGCACCGGGGGGCACCAGGCACACTGTCTTCTGCATGAAGGTGACCCCTGTTGTTGGGGAAGCTGGCAGTGCTGGAGAGCTTAGGAAGGCTTGGGCCACAGTGGTGCCATCCAGGATTCTGGCTGGCATAGCTGAGTAGCGTAGATCAGGATGGGCATGGAACTTGCCTGACTCTAGGCAGTGGTTCTCCCACAGCTGTCCACTGGAACACCAGAGGAGCTTTAGAAAACAGCGATGCCTGGGTCCCACCCTCAGAGACTCATTTACTTGGTCTGGGGTCCAGCCGGGCACTGGAATTTGTAAAAGCTCAAGGTGCAGCCAAATTTAGGAGCCACTGCTCCAGGATGTCAAGGAGGCTTTTTCTCTAGGTGCTGCCCAACTGGTTTGGCTTCCCCAGGTGTCCTTGAAGCTGGTGCCCATTTTGGGTCTGTACCTTTTCAGATGTTAGACTCTCGGGTTGATGACCAGGCCTGGGGTTTGGTTCACCCAACTCCATGTTGATCTCAGCCATGGGAAGATATCTTGGGCGAGCCCATAACTTGTGCTGAGGGCAGGCTCAGCTTCGGGGGGCTCCCTGAAGGACTCTGCAAACCAGCCCCCAGTACACCAGGAATTAGTTTCACCATCTTTTTAGGTTGTCTCTTTGGAGCCTGATCTCTGGAATTCAGACTAAATTCTTCCCAATGAAACTAAAAAGAAAAAAAGTTACATTGCATGTCCATGTCCCCACCATAGGGGGCACCATCTGGTCACAAGGCAGAAAGAATGGGAGAAGTTGGAGTGAGTGGTTGGAGTGTTCCCTCGAATAGGCTGGCAGCAGACCTCAGCCGCTGGCCACCAGGCCTGATGAGAAATTCCCAACTCCAGCGAGCCAGTTCCCTGCCACAGCCCAGCCCGAGGAGGCTTCAGGTCCCTGCTTGTAAACATTCAGTCCCCAAATCTGCTACCACAGGTGGCTCACAGCAAACAAGTGCTAACAATGAGCTGCACTCCTACCCCAGCCCAGCTTCCTTGACTCTCCAACTGCCTGGGGTCCGCATGGCTGTAAGGTAACTCTCCATTACAGCCCACTGCTCCTCCTGTATGGCCCCAGGGCATGCTTTAACCAAACTTTAAAGCTCAGTGCTTTATCAGTAGTTTAAATAATTAATATCCCTTAAAAAAATCTAAGTGCAAACAGTTCATGCAAACCAGTGTCCATTAAAAGGACGTTTGAGTGCTTACCCCTTATTAAACAGTTTATGTAAACTACTGCTCCTTAAGGCAAATCAAAATACCCCAGTCTCCTCCAGTCTCCAAGCACTGAATGGAGGGGTGTGGGTGGGAGGGACACATACACGCACACACGCAGACACACACGCTTTCGAAGGGAACGGAGAAATCAAATCAGCTCACCTGTGATGTTATTTATCAGTGTAACTTAATAAACTGGCCTGGGAAAGGAAAGATGGCACGTGGTCGGCAGGGTCAGGGGCGGCTGTGTGATGAGCTAACTTGGGTTTGGCCATTAGGAGAGGAGTGATGAGACCAGAGCATGGCGTGGCTGGAGGTCTAGCTGCAATGGCTTTCTGATCTCTGGCTGCCAGGTGTCCTTCAAGTGCAGAAATGAGGACTGAAATGCACAGCCGCATCGGAACGCATCCGGGGCTTGGTCCGGTCCTGGCCTGGGCACGCGGTGAGGCTGATTCTGAGCTCTCACCTAGTTACCTCCACATTCTCCAAGCTAGTCTGGCAGCTCTAGAGTTGTTTGAAATCTAAACTCTGCTGAGTACTCAGAAGATGTCTTAATGTTCAGCCACTGCTCTGGTGTCCAGGGGAGTTGCTGAGTTTGCAAGATTACCCAGTTCCTGGCTGCCTCACCTGCTCTCTCCCGTGGCTGAAAACCATGCAGTTATTCTGTTACTGGAGATCACCATCCTGGAATTTCCGGGACAGTCCCAATTTAAAGCCCTATGTGTGGCAGATTGATCCTACATGTCTATCTGGACTCCTTCATAAAACTCCACGAGAGGACAGTGACAGATTTTAAAGCTACAGATACACAATGACAGGACAAAAGAGACGTCAGTGGACAAGAGATTAACTGCATTCTGGGGAGATGGAGAGTGGATGGAGCAATCGCAACTGATTTATCAGAAGAGTTTACAGAGGGGATATGGCAGATTCCCAGAAGGCTCAGAAATTGGGTGTCAGATATTGTGGACTGTGAGGATGAGGTGCAAACCTAAAGGAGGGGAATGGTTGAAATTCTTTAAATTGAGAGGTTGGAACCCAGATCTCCTGTCCCTTCCCACACAGCCATCCCTGCCTCCATTTTACCCCTCCCCCAACAAAGAAAGACTAAGACCTTTTCTCTAAAGACCCAACTGGTGAGGCTCCAAATTTGGAGACTCCAGGAAAGGGGAGGACACTGACAGGGTTTGAGGCTCGAAAAAAGTTCCTCCTCTTCCTCTCTTTGTGCAATTTATTCATTGAATAAACCTGCTCATGTGCCCTACAGAGTTTCCCACAGACTGGATTTTGCCGATTGCAATCCAAGCATAACTTAACATGTTCCCCTGTCCTCTGTATCATCTGTAAATTGATTGTTAGAGCTAAAGACTTTATTCCATTTAGATTCCCACAAGATAACTTTATAGGTGTTATTGAATATTTTTAGATATTAGTATCTAATTTTCTCTAGAGGATGAGCTTTTTTAATATATATTGGCAATTACTGATGATTGTTTCCTGGATCCATTAATTCCTTTGGCGTTATAATGTATTAGCTGGACTACTCCTGCAAAGAGATACTTCTCTTCATCTACTATTTGGTTACCCAACAATAGTCATATAGGAAAGGCAGAATAAATGTTTGATACTCTATCTTTATTTACCAGTTGATAGTATCTGTCAATGGTAATCAATTAATTGTATTCTTTTGTTATTATTTTTACAGACTCCTGGCTTTAAACATTATCTATCCATTGCATGACTATCCCATCTTTTGTCACTAAGGGGCTGCTTCAAGTTGGCTCCTTAGTCCTTTGACATGATGATGCCAATCACCTATGATTGCATCCTTGCTATTGATAAAGGAAATGTTTCAGGCTCACCTTGAACATTCCCTAAACCCAGACCTAGAACAAGCCATTGCTCTAAGAAGTCTTTGTTCCTTTCAGTGGGAAATGGTTAGAGATTTATTTTCTAATATAAACAAATAGTCAAAAATCCCCAGACATTTGAGGAAAGCCTCAGTGAAAGAGAAAGATTGAAACAAACAAGCAAACAGAGTCAAGGAAGCTGTAAGAAACAGGGTCAATGCAATAACTAAAAGAAAACATTAAAAAATTAATTAGAAAAAATAATTAGACTCTTCTGAGATATAAAAATATATCTTATTACATAAAGCAATAAGTTAAAAATATGGAAATTAAAAATATGATTGTGGAAATAAAATTTGAATTTAGAAGATAACATTGAAGAAAAATCTCCCAGAAATTAGAACAACAATAAAACAAGAAATGAAAAACAGGAGAGAAATAACAGAAAACTAGATAATAAATATACAAAGACCAACAGTGGATTGGATTAATAAGAGTTACAGAGAAAGAGTACAGAGAAAAAAGTGAGGAAGAAATTAAGGACAAAATAACATAAGAAAATTTGCCAAAACAGAGGATGAGCCATTACACTGAAAGAGTTGACTGAGTTCCCAAAAGAGACCTGCACTAAGGCACAATCGTGTGAAATTCAGGATTCGGTTATCAAAGAGAAGACCCTGAAAGCTCCCAGAGCCTAAAGAAAATGCTCACTACCAAAGATGGAGAGTGAGACTCACACCAGACTTTGGAATAGCAATCCTGGATTCTAGAAGACAATGGAGGAATAAATGCCTTGGAAATTCTGAGTGAAAAAATATTTTCAGCCTAAAAATCTGTATCAAAACTGTCAATGAAGTATGAAGATAAGTTGAATCAGACATGCAAGAGTTTTTAAAAATCGATCTACCGTGTTCCTTTCCTTAGGAAGATACTGGAGATGTGCTCCACCAAAATAAGCACGTAAATCAAGAAAGAGGGAAACATGGGATTCAGCGAGCAGGAGAGGAGAGAAGGTAAGTCCCAGGTGAACAGGCGCACAGGAGGCTTCCGTCCACACTCGGGCAGGAGGAAGAGGATGAGGACTCAGAGATGATCTGAACCATTTGTGTGTGCAGTTAGCCAACAACATCGAGAGGGATTTGTAACACCTGTTGAGCACCCGGGGAAAATGAGTAATTTGCAAAACAAGCAAATCAAGAAAATGATCCAAGATAATTATTCCATTCAGGAAAAACAAAAAGTTGGTCAAGAAAGGAAACCTCATCAGAATAGGCAAATTTCCTTGATTCTCAGATGCACGTTTTCACATTTTTAAAGAGTCTGAAATCAGGCCACGTCTTTCCGTCAAAGGCATCCTACAGTTGCTGTGGCCAGACTGCAGTCCTGATGGAGTTGTCATTGCCTGTGCTTGAACCTGGTCATCATTCCCGCGTTCCGATTCTACAACACCAACCAGTTGACATTTTAGTCCACAAACCATTTTCAGATGATATGAGGAGGGAATAGGAGTCCTGGTTTGTCAGAAGACCTTCTGTGAGCACCTTCTGGTAAGATCAAGAAAGTGCCAGCATCCAATCTTGCAGGATGGGGTCAATAGCTTGGAAGAAAGATCTGGAGAACAAAGTGGAACGTTCTTTAAGAATTGCTGTATCACTGATACCCTGGGTAGTTCAAAGAATGAAATGCCAAGACAAGCAAACAACAGCAACAAAAAATGAGCGCTGACAATGGAATAGAAAAGTGATTCAGACAAGATGAACTATGAATTCAGAGAAGATTTAAGGATACTCAGTTCTGCTTACATTTTTCTTTTTTGTATGCACAATACCGGTATATGATTTAAAGTGTCTAAATAAGAGCACTGTCAATAAATTTACACTAAAACTTTAAGTAATAAAGGTTTGGCAGCATATATTCTTTCTTAGTGGTTCAAATTACAATCAGTGATGCAACCTGGGGTATTAAGTTGGTAGTAGTGAACAATTTTTACATATTTACAATACTAATTAAATACTAATGTTGATTTTTAATTAAATTACTATCACATTCAAAGATTAAAGAATTAGTGTTACAGAATTATAATGAGAAGATGGGGAGGGTGAAATGAGTGTGTGCTTTGAGGTAGGAGAGATGGGGATGAGTAAGCGGGGGAAATCTTCACCTGCATAGCAGAAGTCAGAAGACGAAGTCTGAGGTTGACACATATTTTTTAGAAACTGAATTAAACACACGCAGAGGAGTAGTTGAAAGTAGTTGACCTTGAGAAATGGGGTTGGGGTGTGAGAGGAGTAGGCTACTTGAGCTTATTTAAATAATTTTTTCATACTACTTAACTTTTTTAACTCTGTGCATCATTACTTTGATAAAAATAATTTTTAAATAAAATAAATGACTCAAGCCCATTCTATGCTGTTATCATTATAAATATACATATTCTTTGCAGGCCATCTGCTCTCGCTTTTGGTTTGAGAAATCTATTCGCTGCGAGAGGCTGTAGGATGCAGCAGAGAGAGCTGAGCACTGGTCTCGTCTGAGTTGGCATGTTGGGTTTGTTGCCTACTAGCTTTGTGACCTTGGGCATATAGCTCCACTTCTCTGAGCTTCATTTTCCTCACCTGTAAAATGAGCAAAAGGCTGCGTGTTTCACTGGCTGTGCTGAGGATCAAAGAGAGAAGGTGTGGCAAGTCCCTGGCACAGTGCTTGTCCTGGGGTTCAGCCCAGGGTGACTTTAACTCCTTTTGATTGAACACACCTGCCCCCACCCAGTGAGATTCCCACTCCCTTGGGAACAAGCCCGACCCCTTCAAAGTGCCCCTGAGCTGAGGGATCCCAAGGCCCCAGCGAGGCCCTTTGCCCACACAGTCCCCCACAGCCACCCGCGTTCCGGAGCTTTAGGCCTGGACATGTGCAATGTTTGTGAGTCACTGCGCGTTTCTACCCACAAAGCCCTGAGGTTTCTTGTCTATGCCCCTCTTTCCTTCTCACACCGGGCTTAGCCTGGGAGCTTCTGGGACCCTGAGGATGACAGTGGCTCCCTGGTTTCTGTCCAAATGAACCCCACAGCAATGTGGCTAGATGCCAGGGGTCAGTTGTCCTTCCCCTGAGCCCATGGCCTGGCCTGGATGAGCCCAGCCTGCTCCTGGGTCTGATCTCCAAACTTGTCACCACTCCTGAATCCAGGAAGTCAGCCCTCCCTCGGCCCCACAAAGCAACCACCTCGGGCCTGTGGGAGGCTGCAATCTGGAAAGCAGAGAGCATCCCTGCCCCCCTTCCAGGTACCCTTCTTGCCCTCCTACCCCCGGGGCCCCTAGACCCCGGCAGGCAGTGACTACACAGCTAGAAGGAGCTTTGTTAGAAATAAGAAGAGGGATTCTTTTATTGTCCCTGATTGGATGGGAGAGCTGCTTGCTCAGGGCTCCCGCTCCCCCGACAGGTAGGCAGTTCATATTTATACATGTGACCCAGAAATCTCTAAAGAGCCACACACCAGGGCTGTTGACATTGCCTGGACCTGAAGGGTATCACTTCTTCCAGATGCTCTTCGGAGGCCGGGAGGGACTGGCTGAGAGTAGAGACGGAATAGATGAAGCGGGGAGGGGAACGGCCCTCTTCCAGGGCCATGGGCACTTGGGAACATGACAGTGTCCTCTGGGTCCCTGAGTGAAAGCTGTGTCCCAGGCACCTTGCCTCATGATAGAGCATGCTGGATGCTAAAGGAGGGCGAGAAGGGACGCAGACAGCTCAGAGCTGGGGCAGGGAGAGCAGTGGGGAGAGTGGAAGTCCTGGGTTCTGGAGATGGTGGGATAAAGACACACACACAGAGCCCTTGAATCCGGAATGTGGGTCCCAATCCCAGCTCTACTCTGTAGCAGCAGCAAGTCACCAGAACCTGAGTTTCTTCATCTAAAAAACAACAAAAAAGCACTTTGCCAGGTTGTAGTGGGGAAGTTAAACAGATCTCTGGTCTCTGAGGTTTGTAGAATCTAGCCTTCCTTGCCTCCCACTCACTTGAGGGACATGTGGTACATGAGGGAGGCACGTTTCCCATTGCCCACTCAGGCCTGGGGTGGTCCTGAAGGTGGACCACTTCCAGCTCCTGCTGCCCCGGGGAGGAAGGCTCCGGGAGGTCCTAGGATGGAGCTGCAGGGGATGCAGCTGAGGAAGCTGGTACTCCTGCCTCCCTGGACCCTAGCAGGTGCGAAGGGTGTTCGGCTGAGGGGATATTCACTCCTTAAAAGTCTCTGGGTAAGGAGGTCTGCAGCCCTCTGGGTCCATGTGGATGTAGTGAGAGGAGCCCTTACCCTGCAGGCTGTCCCTGAGCCTTTCCCAGCTTCCTGTCCACCCAGACTCTGACAGCTGCCTGCCCTGGCGGTGAGTGGCACAGCTGTGTGATGTGTGTCTTCCCCCCACAGGCCACAGAGTGGGCCTCCAACGAGGACACACGCCGCTCCTGCCAAAGCAAAGGGAAGACGGAGGTATGGTGGCCTTGCTGGTCCGGGGTCCTGGCTGGGGCCAGTAGGAGGCTGGTGGTTTCGGGATGGATGGGCATGCTGAAGGCACAAGGCCACCTTGCACAGGCCCAGACTGGATGCACTGGGGGCTCCTGGGTGGGTGAGGTCAGCGCTGAGCATTTGAGTGGGTGGTGATGCAGAAGACAGCCGGGAAGGGAGGTAGGGGGGCAGAAGACACCCACACTGTGACCTGAACTTCAGATCAGGGTGAGCTGGGACACAGGGCAGTGCTTTTATGTATCTGTGGTGCAGTGCTGAGAGGGGAAGACACCCAGAGCCTGGAGAGCTGTCCTTTTGTCACCTCCCCTTCTTGCTTCAGGAGGAGTGTCAGAACTACGTGCGCGTCCTGATTGTCACTGGCCGGAAGGTGTTCCTGTGTGGGACCAACGCCTTCTCCCCCGTGTGCTCCAGCAGGCAGGTGGGGACCGCTCGGGGGGGAGGGGTGGAGACAGTCAGAAAGGGACACTGGCAGGTTCTCCCGCCCAGGCACATAGCCTTGGAGTGGGGGTGCTAACTTTAGCAAACAACAAACCCCAAAACAAGAAAGGATGCCCAGTTAGATTTAATTTCTGATGAACAACAAATTATGTTTTAGCCTAAGTATGTCCCATGAAAGATTTGGGCCATACTGCCCAGATGGCGTGGCTCAGTGGTTGAGTGTCAACCTATGAACCAGGAGGTCACGATTCAATTCCTGGTCAGGGCACATGCCCAAATTGTGGACTTGATCCCCAGTGTGGGGCGTGCAGGAGGCAACCGGTCAATGATTCACTCTCATCATTGATGTTTCTACCTCCCTCTCCCTCTCCCTTCCTCTTTGAAATTAAAAAAAAAAAGATTTGGGACATACTTATACTAAAAAATTATTTGTTGCTCATCGAAATTCACATTTAGCTAGGCCTGCCGTATTTTCTCGGAGTACCTGACTGCACAGGGGCCAGAGGCAGGCGAAGCTCCTGACACAACCTTCCCCTCCGTGAGGGCTGCTTGCGCAGAGGGACTGTGGGGTGGTCATTGAGGGGGAGGTTGGGAGGGAGAGGCTCACAGAGACTAGGGGCCCAGGAGGAAATAAACTCTGAGGCGGGAAAACAGGCAGCCCTTGGATCTCAGGGGAAAGTGCCCCATCTCCCCGCCATCCCAGGTGGGGAACCTCAGCCGGACGATGGAGAAGATCAATGGCGTGGCCCGCTGCCCCTACGACCCTCGCCACAACTCCACAGCTGTCATCTCCTCCCAGGGGGAGCTCTACGCAGCCACAGTCATCGACTTCTCAGGTCGGGACCCTGCCATCTACCGGAGCCTGGGCAGCGGGCCGCCCCTTCGCACTGCCCAGTATAACTCCAAGTGGCTCAATGGTAAGGAGACACAGTCCCAATGGTGGGGTTCCCCCAGTTCTGACCCATCAGGCCACCTTGACCCCCATCAGTCCTCCTCCCTGCCCAACCTCTGAAAGGTCTCACACTGGCTTCATCAAGGGGCCCAGAGTAGGGTGCATGTTTGCCCAAGGAGATGGACTCTAGCTGGAATCGCAGATGCCCTGAGCACCCAGGGCAGATTGGGGGCAGGCTGTGAGGGGAAAGGAAGAGTTGGGAATTGATTTGGATGCTGGATTATGGGGAAAAGTGACTAGGGGTAGGGGTGGGCATGAGTTTCCTGTCCCTTGGAGTTGAATACTTGCTTCTCCGCTAACTAGCTGTGTGGCCTCGAGCAAGTCTTGACCTTTCTGTGCCACAGTGTTCTTTCTCATCTATGACCTGGGGCTGATCGTGGTGCTAACCTCCTAGGTGGTTAAGAGGGTTAAAAGGCTGATGCATATAAAGTACTCATAATAGTGCCTGGTACGCAGTGAGTGCCCAGCAATGCATGTCAGCTATTATTACAACTGCCCTTTGCATTGGAGGTGGGAGCAGGGTTAGTTAGAGCCTCCAGGTCACCAGGCTGGCAGAGGGTGTCATGCCCACCTGGGAAAACGGAAGTAGGCGACTACTCCCAACGCTGCCCCCTTCCTCCCTGCTGGCCTGGCCCACCCTTGTTCCTCTTCTGCCCCCAGAGCCTAACTTTGTGGCAGCCTATGATATTGGGCTGTTTGCGTACTTCTTCCTGCGAGAGAACGCGGTGGAGCATGACTGCGGGCGCACCGTGTACTCGCGGGTGGCCCGCGTGTGTAAGAACGACGTGGGGGGCCGCTTCCTGCTGGAGGACACATGGACCACGTTCATGAAGGCCCGGCTCAACTGCTCCCGCCCGGGCGAGGTCCCCTTCTACTACAACGAGCTGCAGAGTGCCTTCCACCTGCCCGAGCAGGACCTCATCTACGGGGTCTTCACCACCAACGTGTGAGTCCCTGCCTCCGCCACCCCTTCCCTGGGATGCCCGGACAGGCGCTGGTCTGGCCTCGCAGCCTGGTGGGCTCGGGGAAGTCCCTCTCTGAGTCTTGTTTCTCTTTCTGTGCAATGGGGACTGTTGTGCCTTCTGCACCGGGTCATCTGAGGATTTAGTGACTTGCTGCCCCTGCCGTGGTCAGCATGTATTCTGGGTTGCCATGAAGGCCAGATATGAAGAAATAAAAGGAGCTGGGTTGTGGCTTCATGAAGAAGTTGTGGAGATAAGAGAGAAACAGCTGCCTTGAAGGAGGGGATGGCAGCTCCGAAAGGGTCCAGCAACAGCCTATCGGGGAGATTCAGAGGGGGTCTTACAGTCCCTTCCAGCCTCAGGACTCCATGGCCCTGCTAACCCTACCCAGCAAAGCAAGAGCAGACCGTAAGGAGCTTACCTTCTAGAGAGGGTGGTTATCAGTAATTGTGATATTAATATCTCACCATTTTAATCGTGGTAAATGCTACAAAGGGAGAGGGCAGTGAGTGCACAGGGAAACCTCTAAACATATAGAAGGGTGGTGATCAGGGAAGACTTCCTGTAGGAAGTGACGCCCACAGGATAAATAAGAATTAACTAGGGGAGAGGAGCAGCCTAGTCCAAGGGAACCACACATGCAAAGCTTTTGGGTAGGAAGAAATGTTTGAGGAATGGAGCCAGACCAGAGTGTCAAGAGCCTGGAGGGAGAGGAGGAGAAAGACAGGAGGAGGCAGAAGGGCTGGGAGAGGGAGGATTATGTCCTGCAGGCCTTGTAGACTGTTTTACTGGTTTTGATAGTTATCCTAAGAGCAATAAATTATTGAAGGACTTGAAGCAGGCCAGAGACTAGCTGGGATGTGCATTTTGAAGCACACACTCTGGCTGCTGAGTGGAGAATGGATTACAGGAGACGAGGCAGCGGCAGGCACAGTGCAGCATCCAGGGGAGATGATGGCAGCGGAGACCAGGCAGAAATGGACACATTTGAGAGAGGGACTAAATGCAGAGAACGGAACTGGAATCACTTGGTGTAGTGATATCATCTCTGAACTGTTCACATCAGACTCATAGAAACCTGAGACTCTGTGACTGAAAGGGGTCTTAGAGGTCATTTGGCTCAGGGTGTTGTGGGCTGCAGTATATCAGTGATTTGGTAACCTGCTTTTAAAATAAATACATAAATAAATAAATAAATAAAACAGAATAGACTGGAATAAAAATATCAGAGTACAATGTATTTAAAAAGGGTAAGTATTATCTTATAAAACTTCATTGCATATGTGTGTGTGCATATATGTGTGTGTTATACTAAGTTGTAATATAAAATACTAGAGGCCCGATGCACGAAATTCTTGCAAGGTGCTCGGCCCTCACAGCCCCGGCTGCCTCAGCCCTGCCCCTCTGTCCCGCCCCATGCCCCCCACCCACTGGTCGTTCTGGAAGGTCGTTCCAAAAGTTCGGTCTGCTGTTCAGTCTAATTAGCATATTAGCTCTTTATTATATAGGATATTTCCTACAGTGGCCATGGATAAAATGAAAACGCTGAGTTTATTTGACCCTCCCACGGGAGAAGGGAAGGGGATGAGGAGGTAGCACGGAGGAACCCACCAGGGCTCTCATCAGTGGCCTTGTTTCCCAGAGGGTTCCCAGAGCATGAGGACCACGTTCCCTCCTCTGTGACCCCCCACCACGCAAGAGGCACCAGGCTCATCGTAGGTGTTCAGTCAGCCTTGGAGCGGTTCCAGGCGGTGCCTTGACTGCTGGCTGCGGGGTTGAAGGAGGGTGCTGAGGCCTATGTGGGGGCAGCATTTCACCACCTCTTTGCCTTTCAGAAATAGCATCGCTGCTTCAGCTGTCTGCGCCTTCAACCTCAGTGCCATCTCCCAGGCTTTCAATGGCCCGTTTCGCTACCAGGAGAACCCCAGGGCTGCCTGGCTCCCCATCGCCAACCCCATCCCCAATTTCCAGGTACAGCTTCTCCTCTCTGCCCCTCTCTGTACACACGGCCTCCCACCAGACTACCAGTCACAAGCCGACTCCCAAGCCTGTCCCTGCTCATCTGCGCCCATCTGAGGGGTCTACAGTGGTCCCCTACGAGGGTGGGAACCTCTAAGACTGTTGGACAAGAAAGGTAGAGCGGTTGGGTCACAGAGCAAGGGATCACGCTCTGAGCCATCTCTAAATGCGACCCCTCCTCCAGGAAGGTAGGGAGGTCGGACCAGGAGAGCACACATGTTCTGTCTGGCAGAATTTGGGGATTTTGGCTGAAGCTTGCTTGCCGTCTGCCTGGGTACTAATGCCTGGAGGGTCAATGTCAGGAGTGGTGAGGGTGTGTCATCACCTGATTGATTTCCTCAATTGTTTTTGCCCAGCAACGGATCTAAACTTTCCCTGTTTCTATATGTTGTTTTTCTGTTCCTATGTTGAACTTTTTCTGTTTCTATGCGTTCATACATCTTGTTTACTGCAGGCCCTCCCTTGGTTTCCCATGCCTCCCGCTTTGAGTCCAGAAACATTTTATTATTTCTGCTTGTTTGATTCCTGTGGTTGGCTCAAACTGCCATGCCTGCCCCTGCCTATGTTTTACCTGCCTTTGTTTCCCACTGGACCCCTGCCCTATCTGCCTGCGTTTCAAGTTAACCCTCTCAAGGGCACTGGGTGCCCTGGGTGGTATGGGAAAGAGCCATGGGGCAAAGGAAACTATGGATGGTGGACTTTAATGTCCATCAACTTCCTGTCCAGGCCAGAAGCGAGCAGGGGGAGACTTCAGGCTTTGTGGTCCAACAAGCTTGACCCAGACCTACCCCTCTCTCTGTGTGTGACCTTGCGCAAGTCGCTCAACCTCCTTGTGTCACTTTTTCTTTATCTGGCATGCAGGGACAATTCCACTGACCTCATAGATATGTGTGAGGGTTGATAAGCACCTGATGTGGTGCTTGGAATGTAGTAGGTGCTCAATAAATGGTGGTAGTCTGCCGGTTTTGGTTTGGAAGGCATACGAACTTGAGCAGGTAGGGACAAGAGAGAGGAAGGCAGAGCTGACACAACATGAGGGAGGGGCGCCTACAGCCACAGCATAAGATCAGAAGACACTTGTTATCCACACTCAAATAATCCGTTTTTTAGACAATACAGTCTCCCCCTCCTCTTCCCAGCCCTGGCAGGTCCTTCCTGCCCCACCTTCCCAGCCTCAGTTTCCCTTAGTTCCCAAAGAGGCATCTCTTCCTGGAAGGGGGTGCAGGGGACTGGGTGGGGACGTTGGGGGAGGGCTGAAGAACCAGAGTGTGCCAGTGACCGCCTGGGTTACACTAAGGAAGGAGGGAGTCAGGGATTGCGCAGCCCAGTGGCTGCGCCCCGGTAGCCCCGCCTCGCCGCGCAGTGCGGCACCCTGTCTGAGATGGGCCCCA